GGAGCCGGAGCTGATTGCACCACCTGTCTCTCATCTGCTCATCAGGAGATCCGTATTTAAGGAGGCGGAGGGCTTCTCTCCAGTGCCAGAGTGTTTGCCAGTTACGGTTAGCAAGCCTGAGCCAACCTGCCTGTCTCAAACTCTGATTCCTTGAGAACCTGAACCTGATCTGTTTTCTCCTCTCTGCTTCCTAGACTGAACCTGCCTGAAACCTGAAACCCTGAAGAGTTTCTCTGTCATAGATCTGCCTGCCCGCTCTCAGAAGATTACTGGAAGGAAACTAAAATCAGTGATCTGCCTGCACTCTATAAGCTCTGCCTCCGCCTAGCCCTCAGCCTGCCGACAGCCTCTGGACCCTCAAGGTTCCCTCCCTCAGCAGCTCTGCTCAACTCCAGAACAGGTACAGACCTGCACACTCTCCTTCCTGCAAAATACCTGGACCTCCACTAACTCCTCTGTCCTCCTCTGCAGTGAACCCACTCGTGACCAGTCCAGTCCCTTCCTGGATCTGTTAAATCTGTGTTCATTATTTAATAAACCTTTGAACTTTTCTCCTTCCTCTGAGTGTTCTGCATGTGGGTTAGACAAGTTAAACCAAACATGACAATTTGGTTTTTCTTTCATTGTTTTGCTCTGCACATTTTCTGTATATGTCCCTTTTTGTTGCACTGCATACATTCTTTATCCTTATACCAGCAAGTAGCAGCTTTATGTGACCTTTTATTCACATCTGTAACAGGTCTGTAATTTATCATTAGGCTGTGCACACATTTTATTGACAGAACACGGCTCCGTGAATTTTACCTGAAGCTCTCCTACATTTCTTGCTGCAGTTTCCTTAAATATAGCAATTTCTAATTAACAATGCAAAGTCAGATTAATCCTCTGTGAGGAGTCGTTTCTGTGTGCTTTTGTTATGCAGCCCACAGCTAAAACAGTCTCTCAGCAAATCTAACAGCCCCTCCCCGAACTGACGGTGCTCTTACAGTGGCCGAAGCTCCGCGATGTACTCCGAAGTGGACTCAGTTTTTAACTGATTCCGTTTATGAAATCTGAATTGTTCAGCTATGGCAAGAGGCTTCGGTTGGAAATGTTTTTGGAGAATAAGTTTTTACCCCCAATACACTCAGTAACACAGAGACTTTCGTCTCATCGTCTACTTTATTATCCCGACAGTACTGTTCAACTTCCTCCACGTATGTTGTCCAGTTCTCTGTGCCGTTTTCAAAAACGTTCATTTGTCAAACACCTCCCGACATTTTTCACGTGGTGTTCGTTACTAACTTTCTTTTTGTACGCCGTAAGTTAGCAAGTCACATTGGTATCCAGACAGAGGATTTTTTTTTTGTTATTCTTTTCTTATCTTTCTGTCATTTTCACAAGGCTGTCCCCCTCTCTGTCATTACATGCACATGGGGGATCCATTTAAATCTCGTTGCCAGTTTGTCATGTTTCTTTCCATAACTTAACTATATAAACTTAAAAGAAACCTCAGTGGAACATGACCTCATTTTATTCAACATGTTTTCCAGAACACAGTGAGATCAATAAGCTGATACCATATTTGGTGTTTTTCCACATAGAGAACAAAATAGTATAGCAGTGATGTACTGTTTTATCACATACATAACACCCACCCTTAAATGTAGGGTGTCTGCCTCACTGACTAAAACTGGTAGTTGGTTCCACAGGAGAGGAGTGTAATGATCTTGGTTCTGTTGTTTTTCTCTAAGTTTTCAGTTTCAAGTTCATCCAGGTTTTTCCTTGTTTTCTAACTTTATTGGTGTGTTCTAGATTCATTTAAGTTTTGTAGGTTTTTCTTTGCTTGTCCTCTGTTGCCCCCTTGTGTTTTCTTTTCCTTTGGCTTCCTCCTCAGCTCTACTCACACCTGCTCCTTATCAGCTCGTTAGTCCTACCTTTGTTCAGTTAGCCATAAATACACTCCCTCTGCAGTCCCTCTGTGCTGGTTCTAGGGCTGCATCATCGATTAGTTGTGTCGCGCGATTAATGCGTCATCTGCCGCCGCCGCCATCATCATATCCACTTGACTGAAACGGGGGAAGAAAAAAAAATACAGCAGAGCGAGTCAGCGCCGCAGGTGCACAGTGTTACAAACTCTGCACCAACTCTTGGAGGATGTGTTTTTTAGCACCCCTAGTTCTCTCATTTTTATTCCAAATACAATTTATAATTTGAA